AAGAGATGATCTTCCAATGGCGTAATGCGTATAGAAGTGTGCACGAACATATAATCTGAAGAAAACCGATCAGGGCTAAATGAATGAAAATAAATTATGAAATCTTTCTATGAATTGGAATTAGGACCCGAATTCTTTGGGTACGTGAACCCCTAATTCACTTGACACGAAAACTTACCTGAAAAAGAGTGATGACATTGACACAGGGAAACCTATATGAAGAAAGAGCGGCTTTGTTGAACATGAGCAACAGAACTGCAGGGTGGGTAGCAACACAATATCATGGTAGGTATTAGTTCATGCAAAGAAGACATATCATTGTTATCTTATGTATACTCGGTCATAGGTATCGTTATCTAATCGCTCCGTTCGATAATTATTTAAGTTTTCATTATTGGAAACGAAGAGAAAGTGACCATGTCGAATAAAACATGTTGGAATGACTTGTATTGATCCGTGAGGATAATTTTTATTCTTAGAAACAAGGTGAAAGTAACCAGATCATGTCGTGGTGGATGTAAAGGAATGTCGGTACATAGATATCGAATCTAGATTTTGAATCTTAGACATGGGGCGTTACATTTATAGTAAACTTTTCAACTTTTTTCTCGATACTAACACGAGAATTTTTATCACAATGGTATTCCCCTAAAAATGGCTTTCTTCTTCCAAGACCCACGACTTCCTCGCTCTCTCTATTGTCCCATCGTCCCATCGGATTTAAATATAAAATTTTTCAATCACCAATGAATTCAAAAGTTTGAGTGGGTCGTTTATGATATGTCGGAACTTTCCAAAAAAGCATATTCGTTCATGATTCATAATTAAGAGTTAGCTAACTTGAACGTTTAAGTTGATGGGTCACTGTAAATCTAAACATATCAATATTCAATATTCTCATTGGCTAGTGGGTTCGGAGATCTGGGAACTTAAAAGTTTAAGTGGATGGTTTACGGTATGAAATCGTATTCATGAGATAAATATTAAGTAGGACGGGGAAAGACGAACCAGCAGAAGCCATATAAGAAACGGCGGCATAAGCTCCTCTCTTAGTCATGGCGGAGGCAGCTTTCCGGCCATCATCTTCTCCGTCCTTCTGCACCACTGGCAGCAGCGCCGTCTCAGCTTTCTCGGACGCCATGGCTTCTTAACTTCTTTTCTTGCTCCTCTGAAATGGCGTCTTTAAAGCGTTCAACACATGGTCTGTGGAATCCATGAATGCATGCATTTTATTTATTTTCCTTCCAATTTTGGGATCTTTGTTCTTTGGTTAAATAAAAAATTAGTATTTCCATATTTGCTCCTTTCAAAATTAAATTTAAATCATTTTTCTATTTTAAAATTATTTAATGCCCTAATTTAGATAAGGGTGCGTCTGTAATCAAAGAATACTCTCTCTATTGTTCTGCCGCTTTTTGGGAAGCCCATAACAAAGTCATGAAAGCTTATATTCAAAATGGATAATATCATTACATCGTGGAGAGTCGTGATTTGTGATGTCCCACATGGTTGGGGAGGAGAACAAACCACCATTTATAAGGGTGTGGAAACCTTCCCCTAGCAGACGCGTTTTGAAGCCTTGAGAGGAAGCCCGGAAGGGAAAGCCCAAAGAGGACAATATCTGCTAGCGGTGGGCCTGGGTCGTTACATGATTCCTAACATGGTATCAAAGTCATAGCCCAAAGAGGACAATATCTGCTAGCGGTAGACCTGGGTCGTTACATGATTCCTAACATGGTATCAGAGTCATAGCTCAAAGAGGACAATATCTGCTAGCGGTGGGCCTAGGTCGTTACATGATTCCTAACATGGTATCAGAATCATGCACTAAAGTTATGGAATCATTCCAACGTATTTTGTCTTCACTCACTATTGTTAGTATAGACACTGACTTTCAATTTTTTAAGTATTTCTTAATCATATTATCCTCAAGATTGCTTTTATTCAGAATCGTCTCAATTCATCTGTGTTCTTTCATTTACTCTGGTGTCACATTTTGTATATGTCAGGTACCTACCTATTAGATAAGAAATGAAATATTAAATATTATCGGACGTAGTTGTTGACAATTTAAATTAAAAATAATATATTTTTTTAACTTGCCATTTACATTTTTGTATTTGCAAATATACCCAAATTTGAGTAATAATTGAATAATGATAAAGATGCCTTTCATAATTTTCTTTAATACAATAATGACAAGATTAAAAAAAAATAATTATCACTGAAAAGCATGCTTTAGCAAATACATTTAATAACCGATAATTATAAGACCGTTAATACTTGCATTATGTTCCAATTTATGCCTATATGTAATAATTTAGAACTTACAGTCAGTATAAAATTAATTTAAATAAAATAACATTTGAGTTGGAAATTAAAGTAATAGCGTTAAAAAAAAAATTGATTAGAGAAAGGTGCCTCGATTTTTTCTTAAAAGTAACAATTTTGTAATAAATGATATCAGAGTCGGACACTAAGCAATGTGATATGAACCACGACTAAGAAATTTTCATGCCTTAAGCTCCAATTACAAAGATGAGAGCCAAGAATCTACAACAAATCTTGTACACTTATATTCAAGCTAAAGTGAACTCATCAAGAAATTACAGACGTTAGAGACCTCCCTTATATGTTGTGCAAAGTTGAGTTTCAAGAAGAAGATGTATTAAATACAGTTATGCAACTCAACTAAATTTATGACTAGTCTAAGGATGACTAGTAAGCATGTTTTATTGCACTATTTAATTATAATTTAAATATTTGTTTGTTTTTCGTATAAAAGTTAATGTTATACGGTAACCTACCTTATGTTATCATATTCCACTATTAACTAGCCATGGTAATACGGAAGTTATGGGTATTTCTCATTTAATTTGGGAGTTATGTGTTATATAGGTTAAGGTTGTAAAGACTATTAAAGTATTGTTGTCTTTGACTAAAGACATCACATTTTGGAATTAAAAAAATAATAGAATTTTTTTAAACTTTGTTGAGAGCTAAGATTTTCTTTGTAAATTAGTGTGTTTAGAACTTGCATGCTAGAGTCATTCACGTGGTATTGATCAAACCTCTTATGGGGTGATTCGAATCACGAGTTTAGAAACGAGTTTTATTTACTCTTGATCATGATGATCAAGGTAATCCGTTCCATACTTTCTTTTGAATTGATTCCATATCACAATTTGCCAGCGAGGAGACTGAGCTTGAAGTTTGTAAAAATGATCAGGTAGTACTCCCCACGATTCCGATCTAGAGTATGTGCCTATCCACCCTCGAAGGGGTGGACATGAGATAGTGTGCCAGCAAAAACGCTTGTGAGATCCCATATTGGATGGGAAGGAGAACTAAACATTATTGACAATGGTGTGGAAACCTCTCCCTAGGATACAAGTTTTAAATACGGGAGAGCAAAAGGATGACGATATCTATTAATACTGGGTTTGAACGATTATAAGTTTAGTCTCTAAACTTTACAACCTAAGAATTTTATTTATTTTAAAAAAAAGCATATGATTGTTTTCTACCAATATTAAATTGCTACAAATTTTAAAATAAAATTAACAAATTATTACATGTCTAAATGAATAAAAAATTATAAATACGGAGACTAAATTAGTAAATTATGTAAATTTATTAATTAAAGTTATTTTAGAGGTAAAAAAAATCGTAAAGGGACACGTGTCAAATAGGCAAGTCGTCAAAGAAAAAAAAAATCGAAAATAATAAAGGAAGATAAACTCGTTTAAGTGGGTCCCATCAAAACTGCTCCTCTCTAAGATTGCATACCGGGTACCGACGACGCCTTAGCCTCTAAGGAAGCGAGAAAAAAAAAAAAAAAAAAAAAAAAAAAAAAAAAAAAAAA